ATTCGTTATCTACAATTTTACGGAAAACAATTCAAGTATATGATAATTTGTCAATGTAACAGTATGATATATCAAGCAATTAGACGTGTGTGAATCGATTCTTGTAGTTCGTTTGAAGACTTCTCCATCACAGAAGTATTATCATCAGCGGATGTTTCAAAATTCCGAAATTTTACCAGTTCATCGAAAATTTTGAATTCTGCTTAAGCCAGTGCTAGGGGGTCTTTACGGTAACATGCACTTTCCAGTATTCTCCATGAACACACTCAATGAAACCAAGTCTGCAACATTATCAATTTATCGTTTTGAGCATTCTTGTGGATTCCGTTTTTCTCTCAGTTATATTATTCTGAATCTTCAGGGTCATTGATTTAAGTATTCTTTAGATCTTAAATATTAAATATCGCTATAGATGCGTAAGACATATGTTAATTTTATTACCTCACATGAACTGCTTTAACTAGAACTATCACTAAATGTGATTAATACCCCCGCAAGACTGCTTCGGAAATGAGGATGTTACTAGTAACAGAATACCTTGTTAAAGAATTGTAATATATTTATGGTTGTGGGCAATTAAAGATAGTTGTGGTTTTGTATGTTGCATTTCCTTTCAATGTGGTTGGCCATTGATGAAGTTTTATTGAAATACTCTGCAAAAAGTCCAGAAAGACAAGGAAAAGGAACAAAGGGCAATAACTCTATAAATACTGAAGATGGAGTTATGGTTATTGTACACTGCACTTCCTCTCATTGCACTTGACCATTGTATGAAGTTGTATTGAATTCCAACAAAGTTTTCAAGTTATGCACATGACAAAAAAGTAACAAAGGGCAATAACTGTAATTACTTTAGATAGAGGTATGGTTCTTGTGCACTGCACTTCATCCCACTGCCCTTGACCATTGTATAAAGTTCATTGAATTCCAACCATTAGTTTTCAAGTAATGCACTGGACAATAAAAAGAAACAAAGACAATTTTTTTAAATGATTCAAGAAAGAGTTATGATTTCTGTACACTGCTCTTCCCCTCAATATACTTGACCATTGTATGAAATAGTATTGTATTCCATTTAGAAGTTTTCAAGTTATGCTCTGGACAAGAAAAAAGCTATGGAAAAATAACAAAGGGCCTAAACTCTAAAATTACTGTGGACAGAGTTATAGTTCTTGTGCACTGTACTTCCTTTTATTGTGCTTGATCATTTTATAAAGTTGTTTTGAATTCCAACCAGTACGTTTTAAGTAATGCTCCGGACAAGGAAAAGTATCAAAGGGCAATAACTCTGTAATTTGTCAAAATGGTGTTATCGTTCTTGTGCACTGCACTTTCTCTTAATGTGCTTGACAACTGTATGAAGTTGTACTGAAAACCCACCAGTAGTTTTCAATGGTCCGGTTGTTTTGAATTCCAACCAATAGTTTTCAAGTTATGCTCCGGACAAGGAAAAGTAACAAAGGGCAGATACTCTGTAATAAGTCAAGTTGGAGTTATGGTTCTTGTGCACTGCACTTTCTCTCAATCTCTCAATATGCTTGACCATTGTATGAAGTAATATTGAATTCAAACTATTAGTTTTCAAGTTATGGTCCGGGCAAAAGAAAACAATGGAAAAGTAACAAAGGGCAATAACTCTGTGATTACTTTAGATTAGAGTTATGGTTCTTGGACAATTCACTTCCCCTTATTGTTCTTGACAATTGTATGAAGTTGTTTTGAATTCCAACCAGTAGTTTTCAAGTTATGCTCCAGACAAGGAAAAGTAACAAAGGGATATAACTCTGTAATTAGTCAAGATGGAGTTATGGTTTTTGTGCACTGCACTTCCTCTCAATGTGCTTGACCATTGTATGAAGTTATATTGAATTCCAACGATTAGTCTTCAAGTTATGGTTCGGACAAAAGAAAGCAATGGAAAAGTAACAAAGGGCAATAACTCTGTAATTACTTTAGATAGAGTTATGGTTCTTGTGCACTGCACTTTCCCTTATTGTGCTTGACAATTGTATGAAGTTGTTTTGAATTCCAACCAGTATATTTTAAGTTATGCTCCGGACAAGGTAAAATAACAAAGGGCAATAACTCTGTAATTAGTCAAGATGGAGTTATGGTTCTTGTGCACTGCACTTTCTCTCAATGTGCTTGACCATTGTATGAAGTTATATTGAATTCCAACGATTAGTCTTCAAGTTATGCTCCGGACAAGGATAATGCAACGGACCGCTGGACCGACCGACCAACCGACCGACCGACCACCGGGTGACTCCTGTATACCCCCCAAACTTCGTTTCGGGGGTATAATAAAACCGAGTTAATTAGCAACCATATGCATTTGAGGGATCTGAGCTCCATTCGACATTATTTTAAATCAAAGTATATAACATTGTAAAACAATTATAAACAACAACTTTATAGACTATCATTTGTAAAAGACGTGTTGTTATGCACTGATTTACAGTAACTGAAGTCTATATTTTGCTTCTATACCTGTCAATTTTGAAATATTTACTTTTATTCGGATAGTAAAGCCGATGAAGCGGAAACATGAATTTGAGATGTTTGTAGTTCTTGGCTACCTTTTCCTATATAATTTATCTTAGGCATACTAAAGCCATGCATAGATAGATGGTAATTTATTATATAAACAAGGTTGTTGTATCATCATAAATCATTATTGTTAAATTACCTGGATCTTCACTTTGAGTTTCTTTAGATAATTTCTCATGCTGACAAATCTGGTAAAATAAACATTACTTATCTTACACATTTGACTATAAAAGATTTTCACGATCTTAAGCTAGTGTAATAAGAAAACTACATTTTCGGAAAACTAAACATTCAAGGTGAGAGGCAAGTAATACTGTTGGTAGAAATAGAATACCAAGTTTCCGGATTCATTTTGACAGAAAAGAAACGTCATCAATTGAACTAAACAAGCCATGTTTTTATTGACATAAAGGGTAAGATACTGTTTCTCTTTTGCATCTTTATTATAAATTGCATGAAATATGCATATAAACGTTGCAAATTTGCGCCATAATTAATCGGGAAATAATGCTTAACAAAAAAATTTGGTTCAAATGCTGCAACGCTCCTAATATTATGGTGAAATAGTGGCATTTAACAAATAATGTATATTGCTAGACATGACAAAATGTTGATGCGTTCAATTTAATATCTTACTGCATCTCAAAATATGTTGTTTCTTATGTTGTTGTTTTGAAACATTTGTGCATTAAAAATAGGAAACCAAGCGAATACGGAACTTAATTATGTTCCTATGACAGCTATTTAATGATCATGTTTCACTCTTAATTTTTCAAAAATGACCACAGCAGTATTCAAATGATATTGAAGACAAAATCTATACTCATTCGTTATGTATAAAAAATGAGAAAAAAATTATAACGACACTTACAAAAACATTTGGTTTCTATTGATTAAACTATGTCTTGAGTATATAGACATTATATTCATGTATAATATAAACATGACTTGAGTTATTAGTAAACATGCTTTTAAATTATTTGTACCGAGGCTATAATTGCTATAATATAATATTTTCTCATTGTAACCAAAGAAATACAATATTTCAGTACAATATTTTAAACATGTAAGGATTATCTCGCGATAATAATTGTAAATTGTTATAAATTCTCTTCTCCCGTTTTTTTATAATTTCTACTACCTCCATAATTTCTCATAAAAAATACACAATAACTGTTCTTAATTTCATTTCACTGTTTATGTGTTGAAAATGTTCTAAATTTCTACTCTACAATTAATAAAGTATTTATATTATTATTAAAGTTACAGAGTTTTCTTCCTCACATATGGTTGATGTCACTGAGAATTCACTATCTAGCTCTTAAGATCTCACTCTTGAATCTTGAATGCCCCCAGAAAATCTTGTCCTAGTATTTATATAAAATACTTTGTCTTTCCATATTTGGAGGTTACCTTAGTGTTAATTGACAAATTTAAACTTCTATATTTATGACGACAAGTGTTGATCAAGTAACTGTACCAGAAACAAACAGACTGATTCCTGGAATATTTATGATGGTAACCAATGATTGAGTTTCCTAAACAATTGCAGGACTCTTGTCCATAATTTATGCAGGTAACTGTTGACAGAGTTACTTTACTAAAATCTCCCAGACTGATACACAGTCTAACCCCAACAGATTTATAGTACTAAATAATGACAACAAATGAGGTCTCAAAACTCAATCAGTAAATTAATCCTTAACCAGGTGCATTGATAAAACTACAACAAAATAAAACAGGGCTATGTAAACAACTGTGCTTTATCAGCATACAGTAGTATATTGTGCGTGAGGCGGTTAAATACACAATTTATCACTGTCATCTTAAACAGTATTGAGATTAACGTAACCAGAATGATTATCAAAATTTGTGATAATGAATCTACTGTCATCTGAGAGGGTAGTCCATAAAATTAAATATGAATTTTGACTCCGCCCACATTAATGGTTATATTTCACATTTATTTGTTACAAATAGTTTCTTTTGTTTTCAGATAAAGTTTCGTAGATTAATATAATTATACGACACTGAAACGCTGTTTTACTTTCTTTCACCTTTGTATTAAGACTTTTAGCTAGTGAATATGATGTGATGTGTACTGAAAAAAATATTGACCGAAAAGAGAGTTTGTCTACTTTTTCAATAATTTTGCCCTGTATTTTAATGCGCATTGACACTCTGAATTCTTTATGTTCTTAAAGTATAAAGACAGTAACTAAAATAGATTAATTTGACTTTTATTTGCGAGTCGACATAGGTCATAGAAACATTTATAGTGATAATATATGGAAATGAGGAACTGCAATATGAAAACAATGTTATTATTTTTAAAAAAAGCTCTTTGCTTTCTTTTTTTATTTCAATTTCATTTTCTATTTGTAACTTAATGAGCTTCTTAAATCACACTTTATCAGAGTGATTCAAACTGAATCTGAAATTTTCTTCTTTTTGATATTTTTTTGTATTTCTCTCGACTGATCTTCCATTTTCAAGTATTTTATCTGTCTGTGATATCAATGTGCTCAAGAACATGATAGATATATCAAAATATCTTTAACAATTGCAATACAACGTTTTAAGATAAGGTGAGGCAAGGAATGATTAGAGTGTTTTCCAAGTTATTATGAAAACAAATCACAGTATGAAATGTTTTGTACATTTTTGTTGTTTCATTTTAAAAGATCTACAGAAACCCAAGTAAAACTTTATTTTACTTCAAAAAAGCAACTTTGACAACATTGCAACTGTCTCCTGCAATAACTAATGCACGTTTTCTTTTGTCAAAACAAACGGATTGTATATTTCTTATTCCATCTGATTGCTTAATGACCTCGAACATTTTCTTCATATCTCTGCCGAATTGTATTTCATTATTCGGGCTATACCCGGATACAAACAAAGTTCCACTGCCATCATTACAAACACTTGATACCTTATTCAACTCGGGATCAGTCAAAGTCTGACAGTAATTCCCTTTTCCGTCCAAAGAAATAAGACCATCCTCCCAACTAGCAACAAACATTTTATCATCCACATCACTAAAAGCAATATGTCGCGAGCCGGAGAATATGATCCTTCCATTATTGTCTCGACTAACAACGTGCATCAAAGTACCTGTTAAATCATATATATATAATGAGCTCCCAAGGTCAGTTAAATACAGTTTCTGTTCGTTACATGCAATGCCAAAACACAAGTGGTTAAATTTGGTTTTTCTTGTGAGTAAAAGTTGGCTGTGTAAAGAGACAAATTGAACAGACCTATCGCCCAAACTTACTGCAGCTTCACTATCACTTGTACAACACACACCATATGGCGATCCAGGAAGTGAACAATGATCTTTTATAATCATGTTTTGTATATCTGCACGCTTTAGTCTATTATTACGATAGTCAGCAATAAGTAAGAATCCATCTGTTGTTATACATGTTCCATACACAAGTGGTTGCACTTCAGATTGAAGGTGGATATCTAAATCTTTAATACATTCCACTGCCCAGACTTTTGGTTTTGTTGAAGGCCTTACAGCAGGTCCGAACGTTTTGAGATTTTGAAGGGTACTTTTTATCTTAGGATCAACATTGATAGTAATCTTCGTCTCAAAATTTGATTTTTCGGGAAAAGTTGCGTCGTTCATCTTTGAAATGTATGAAGAAGATATTTTCATTGACACAAACTGCTGGGCCATGTTACCCTCTGATTGTTTCAAATCATTCAACGATTGTTCAAGGCGAGCTATTTCGTCTTCTGTAATTGTATTGTCTTGCAAAAGTTCCGAGTCAACTTCTTGAAATATTTTTTCAATCTCGGCTATCGAGTTTTCCTCGATGTTGTCTAAGATGGCGTCGAGTTCTTGACGATAGTTTTTAATTTCTCTTAGTGCATTAAATTTAGATTTCTTTAATTCTTCTCGTTGAGCACGTTTAGCAACAATAAATTTTTCTTTTAACTGTTTTAAATCTTTCAATTTTTTGTTTAACGTTTTGATGTCTTGCGTGCTATGTGCTTTGTCAACAATATCCGGAATTGACTTAACGCCAGAGCACGATCTGGAATGAATAAAGGTGTCATAAATTAGATTGCACAACAATTTCTTTTTATACTACATAATGAAGATAAGAAATACAATGAACTTAAAATGAACTTACAGGAGAACACTTACATTACACATGTTCCGTTAAGTTATCTCAATTACAAGAGTTGATATGATATAAAAAGAGAAACCTGACAGGTACTTGTACCGATATCTAGTATGCTCCCACTTGAAAATGTAGGGAGTGTATTGTAATAGATTGTTAAGTTTGTCCGTAATACTTTTTTCGTTTAATAATTTGAGAAAGAATAAGCTGTGATTTATTTACTTTGATTTGATACTGACGTCATAAGGCATATCGTAAAAATCACAGTGACCCTTGTCTGGTTAATTTCTTACGAAGGAATAGCTTTTGTTAATTTTAATTGATACGGAAAATGCCCATGGCCAGTGAAATACCCTATTGATTTTGAAGTCATTATATATAAATGCCATTATGTCAAAGGGCATCGTGACCCTCATGTAAAAAACAATATATTAAGTAGGAATAAGCTTTGGATTATCCTGCTTGGTATAAAAATAGAACATAGCCATTTAGTCAATAAGGGAAATTGACATCAACAAGGCTAAGGAAACGTTCCCAGGACGCAGCCCCGACACCCCCTTGCCACAGAATAAGGGCACTCAGAATGCAGCACAATGACACTGAATAAAAAATTGTTTTTCTGATAATAAACTTGAGAATAAATAAGCCGTGGTTACGGTTACTTAGTAGGAACATTGCTTATGGCCAGTAGATGTAGATTGCCCTTATTGATCTTAAGGTAATGAGGTCAAAGGTCATGGTCACAGTAATACTTTTGTAAAACTCTTGTCTCATTAAGAAGAAATAATGATAAGTTTATTTACATGGGTATGCATATTTTTCTTGACCAGTAGATGGCCCGACTTCATTGAACGTTCATTGAACGCCGCCTTTCCTTGTTGATCTTGTTTATCATATATTATATCAATATGGAGAGGTCATTCTGTTAATATCACAGTGACACCTGGTGTAAGATCCTGGTATTATCAATAACTACAGTTTCCTCACTTATTGGCGTCCGCGCCAAAGCGCGGCGCCCCTTTATGGAATGAAATCAGATTTTGTGAAAGGGCGACAGCAACTTCTCGAGCCTTTTAGTCGGTCATAATAAAAGCCGATCATTCCGATCGTTATGAGGGTGCTTGATTATTATTAATTAAAAATGAAATGTCGCAATATGTACAATGAATAGCGAACTGGAGGATTTCGCAATGCAAACATTTTCAAATGCAATAACCTTTTCCGTCTCTTCGGTTTTTTATTTATCATTTTGTAGTACACAGTGGGTTTACATGGTATGTTAAAATAGAATGATAAGTTGATGACCTAAATATTCCGAAAATCTATTTATAGAGGGATGTACTCCTATCGGTAATTCCGGTCTCTCCCGGTCTATTTTGACCGGGATATTAGTGACCACACGTTTATTGTCCGGTCTCTCCCGGTTTTGGAGTAGATGTTTGATATCGTTACAGAACAGAACAAATATTTTACAGATAAATAAGCTTTTTTCCAAAATGAATGTTTGTCACTTAGTTTGGTTACAATAATTTATAAACATAGATCAACTCTCAAATTTATTGATTATTATTATACATAAACATACAATTCGAAAAAAACACCAACAATAACAACAACAATAGCATGTTTCATTTTATCTATATGAGATAAAAACAATAAATATGTACAATAATTGTGAAAAAGGTACATTTTTATGGTTTTTATATGACACTATCAACTTTGAAACATTTTGTTTAATTTGTTATTCGTGTTTAGTAAAGATGCCGAGGAATTATTCAAAGTTACAAATTAGATTTTATTAATTATTTAATTGATTGATAATTCAAAAAATGATAAAGAAAAATACAAATGTACATGTACATGGTTTAAGAATAAACAATATAATATATTGAAAGATTAACCATAATTTACTAAATTTTTCCAGTTAAGTTTTGACTCGTCGGTCAATATGACAATTGAATTCTTAAAATTTATTTTACAATTTTAATAAAAAAAGAGTAGTAAACGTAAAAAACTCAGTATTATAATAGCACATAAAAACACAAAAAAGAGAGGAAAACAATATTCATAAAATCTGTATTTTTGTTATTAAAATAGATATTACAATTATTGTATAATAAACAATAATGCTCAACATGACATGGACATATAACCAGTGTCATATATTTACTAAGTGTGAACAGATACCTTAAGAGGGGGTCTTCGCTAATAGCGATTACATAATAAGGGACAATTCCACAAGTGTGGTGTTGATCATGCGTTACACATATGGATTATAAATGATTGTATACATGTATATCCGTTGCTATTAATAATCACGATCATAAAGAAATAACAAGTAATATTCTAATCTCTAGCATGCCAATCAAAGTTCATAATGAACAATGTCTTCCGTCCGTTCATTCTGGTAAAAACCAATTAACCATTGAAAAGTTTATAAGAATATCTTGACATCATATGTCTACTAGTTCATCTTCACCTTCTGTATTTCTTGCTTGGACGCCCTTTGATGCTTTGCATCAATGCTTTTCTTGTTAGTTTATGGAATTTGTTAGTTATAACACTTGTTCACACTTGTTTAAGAGGTAAAAATAGCCATATTGACTACGTTTGTTGTTTAATTGTAACTGTGTTTATTCTGCTATTGAGTAATTTTTTATTATTGTCACCGCCTTTATACAATCATTTAAACGTCAAGTCTAAACAGGTTCATGTGATTTGATGATTTAAAAAAAAAATACTTACCTGTGGTCGAGCGCCATACAAGTTGTACAACCAACCTCGTCGTGATTACCACAATACATATCTACTATCTTTGTCTTGTGAACGCTACATCTCTGAGTGGGTATTGCTGGCAATCCTCCGATGCCACTTGACGACTTGTAATTCGTCTGATCCAAAAATGTGTGACTCTTTAATCCCGGCATTTTGTGAAACATGTCGGCGCATGTTTGACAATAGTACCCCTGACATTCCACACAGTATTTCGTAGCTTCTCTATTTCGTTTATCGTCCAAACAAGGCGAACATTTAAAATTAAATATCTCGTCGGACGAATGTTCACTCCCACCAGACGCCATTTTAAACTTCAATATTTACTTCCTGTTTTGACACAAAGATAACGCTTCGTTGACGATATTAATACCGTAACAAATGTTAAATGTAGCCGTTTAAACCAGCGTAGTATACAAAATGAAGCGGCGCTTTATGCAAATCTCATTGTATATACATTGTATCAGTAAACCAGTTCTTTTACGTGTATAAATGTTCAATAGTTATCAATATTAACCGATCGTTAAAACATTTATTTTCAATAAATTGATCTTAATAAATATCTTGTTTATCGAACCTTAATAGCCTTAAACTAAATACAGTGAATACCATGAATTTTCCATTCAATAAGAAGTGCTTACCTAGCAAAATACTTAAATACTTTCTCTCTCAGTAAGTTTAGGAATCATTTGAAGATTTTTGTGATTAAAATGTAATTGCTACATTAACATAAAAATGGAAAATTTACCAGTTTATGCTAGTGTAAGCTTATCACATTTGTTTTATTATTGTGTTCATTATTTAATTATAAATGATTATTTAAATATACAAGTATACAGGCAACTTAAATTAGTTGAGACCCTGTCTGCATGATCAAACATTCATGATATAGCCTATGTATGCTTAATCCACGATTTTACCGTTGACAATTTCAGTATTTTCAGTGATCATGCATCATTGCGTTTTTTAATATGTTGTGATCGTATACGTGATTTAAGTCAATCTGATACAAATTTCATCTCTACGTATTTCAAATGGAATGCCGACCATGAGGAAAACTTTAGACGCGGTTTAATTGCCAAGTTGCCCGATTTTAACGAGTTATTATTATATCATGACAATCGTGATTTGATTTCTGTTGACCATATAGTCAATAAATTTACTGGTATTATTCGTGAGATAGCAGACCCATTATTTAAGAAAACCCGAAAAAAATGTAATAGACCGACTATTGATGATAATAACAAAACTTGGTTTGACCATGAATGTCGATCATTTAGATCTATTTACGAGGTGGCACTTAATAAGTTTAATGGGAATAAAACTCAAGAAAATCACATTGAACTGAATAATGCAAAATATGCATATAAACAATTAATAAGAAAAAAGAAAAATTTACATTATCAAAAAATGTCTAAACAATTAACAGAATTAAAGCATGCGCGACCCCGTGACTTCTGGCGATTATTTAGAAAACACGATAATAACAAGACTGAATTATCTAATGATGATTTCAAACAGTATTTTTCGTCAATGTTTGAAGATATTCAGGTACAATGTATCGATGAAGTTGTAAATTTTTTGTCAACAGACGAAATTAATATTAGTTCTGATGATGATGTATCTAAACAATTAAATGAGCGTATATCTATTACAGAAGTACGTGAAGGAATTAGGCGTTTAAAAGCGTAACAAAGCTTCATGTCCAGCTGACAATTTACTAAATGAATATTTTTTAAATGCAGCTGACATTTTAGACGGGCATTTAGCGGATTTATTTGACATTGTTTTTGATTCAGGTGTCTTTCCTGAGAAATGGGCCGAAGGTTTTCATTATACCGCTACATAAAAAAGGTGATGTGAATAACGTCAATAATTATCGTGGTATAACGTTATTGAGTAATCTCGGTAAATTGTTTACGGGGATTTTAGATGTGCGAGTCGTTAAGTGGTGTGAGAGTCAAAAAAAATTACCAGATGCGCAATTCGGTTTCAGAAAAAAATCATAGTACCGTAGATGCAATCTTTGTACTGCAGAATTTAATAGAGCAAAGCTTGAACGACAAAAAACGTCTGTATTGTGCTTTCGTTGATCTGAAAAAAGCATTTGATTCAGTGAACCGTGACGCGTTGTGGTTTAAACTGTACAAAAAAGGATTAAATGGTAAAATTTTAACAATGTTTAGAAACATGTACAATATTGTAAAGTCTAGTATAAAATTTAATAATGAATTTTCTGATTTTGTTGAAATCGCGGTGGGCTTACGTCAGGGGCAGACAAATTCGCCGACATTTTTTTCCTTATTTATTGAAGACATCGAATCGTTTTTGCAGCAAGATAATACAACTGGCCTAACCATTAATGAAATTTGTCTTGTAATTTTGTTATTTGCGGATGATATGGTAATATGTGGCGATTCTGTAGAAGATTTACAATCGAGACTGAATTCTTTACGCGAATATTGTGAAAAATGGGGGTTAGAGGTAAACACTGCAAAAACCAAAGTTGTTGTTTTTAGGAATCGAGGGCCAGTTAAAAGAAATGAACACTTCATTTATAATGATGAACAGTTAGAAATTGTGGATGATTTCAATTATTTGGGAATAACGTTGAATTACACTGGTACTTTCGCTTTAAATATAAAATGTCTAAAAGGCAAAGCACTTAGGGCGATGCACACATTGTTAAATAATATCAAAAGATATAACATTCGTCCGGATATTTCATTGCAACTTTTTGATGCATTCGTAGGATCGATATTAAATTATGGTTGTCCTATTTGGGGGTTTACTAAGTCTTGTGAATTAGAGCGTATTCATCTACAGTTTTGCAAAACTATCCTTGGTGTAAAACAATCGACAAGTAACGCAGCTATATATGCAGAATTGGGTCGCTATCCTTTATATGTATTTCGTTTTGTACATATTATTAAATACTGGGTCAAGATTATCAATACGGATAATATGCTATTAAAATCGGTTTATGCACATTCATTGGCTCAGTATTATAATGGCAGAAAGAATTGGGTTTTCCATGTTAAAAAACTGCTTGATGATTATGGTTTTAGCTCTGTTTTTGTAAATCATGAAAACATAAATTTCAAATTATTTGTAAATTTGTTCAAGAAAACAGTAACGGATTGTGCCTTACAGAAACTATTTGGAGATATTGAGAAAAATAGAATACTGAAATCCTTGTACATACATTTAAAACCGAGCTTTGGTATATCTGATTACTTGATTAAAATAAATTCGTTTAAATACGTAAAAGCATAACTAGATTGCGCGTGTCGTCACATAATTTATTAATAGAATCTCTTAGACATAGGCGTAATCGAAAAACCAAGAAGTGAAAGATTATGTTTTATTTCTGCGGTAATGACATAGAAGATGAATTTCATTTTATAATCACATTCAAAAAAAAAATATTCTGATCTGAGAAACAAATTCATACCAAAATATTATGTAAAAAATCCAAGCATGTACAAATTTATTGATTTATTAAGTTCTAAAAAGAAAAAAGTCTTGAGAATTGAGTACCGCTCAAGCCGGTGCTAGGGGGCGTGAGGGATGTTGCACTTATTCATTATCCCTCATGTGCAGACTCAATCAAACCGAGTCTGCAATTCTTATGTTATTTTGTTGTGATTAATGCTTCCGAGGGATCACTTTGTTTCCGGAATTTTGTACTTCACAACAGCAGGTGTCAAGTGTCGTGTGGCAGCCGTAAAAAGTTGCCCCGTACTTCACTTCAGTGTTGTTATATTTTCTGGTCCTTCGGGATCATTGATGCCAACACTATAAAGTGTTGAGAATTGAGTACCGCTCAAGCCGGTGCTAGGGGGCGTGAGGGATGTTGCACTTATTCATTATCCCTCATGTACAGACTCAATCAAACCGAGTCTGCAATTCTTATGTTATTTTGTTGTGATTAATGCTTCCGAGGGATCACTTTGTTTCCGGAATTTTGTACTTCACAACAGCAGGTGTCAAGTGCCGTGTGGCAGCCGTAAAAAGTTGCCCCGTACTTCACTTCAGTGTTGTTATATTTTCTGGTCCTTCGGGATCATTGATGCCAACACTATAAAGTGTTGAGAAATGAGTACCGCTCAAGCCGGTGAGGGATGTAACACTTTATTCATTATCCCTCATGTACAGACTCAATCAAACCGAGTCTGCAATTCTTATGTTATTTTGTTGTGATTAATGCTTCCGAGGGATCACTTTGTTTCCGGAATTTTGTACTTCACAACAGCAGGTGTCAAGTGCCGTGTGGCAGCCGTAAAAAGTTGCCCCGTACTTCACTTCAGTGTTGTTATATTTTCTGGTCCTTCGGGATCATTGATGCCAACACTATAAAGTGTTGAGAAATGAGTACCGCTCAAGCCGGTGCTAGGGGGCGTGAGGGATGTTGCACTTATTCATTATCCCTCATGTACAGACTCAATCAAACCGAGTCTGCAATTCTTATGTTATTTTGTTGTGATTAATGCTTCCGAGGGATCACTTTGTTTCCGGAATTTTGTACTTCACAACAGCAGGTGTCAAGTGCCGTGTGGCAGCCGTAAAAAGTTGCCCCGTACTTCACTTCAGTGTTGTTATATTTTCTGGTCCTTCGGGATCATTGATGCCAACACTATAAAGTGTTGAGAAATGAGTACCGCTCAAGCCGGTGCTAGGGGGCGTGAGGGATGTTGCACTTATTCATTATCCCTCATGTACAGACTCAATCAAACCGAGTCTGCAATTCTTATGTTATTTTGTTGTGATTAATGCTTCCGAGGGATCACTTTGTTTCGGAATTTTGTTAAATTTGGGAAATTTTATAGCACAAGCATTTAAACGCAGGGAATTAAATCAACCGAATCTTCAGACATAATTATAAAAATGTTATCTTGTTAGTAATATTACCTTATTTCTTTTCATTCTCCATGTTTTGTTAACGCAGTCCAAAGATGTAGTTTTATCATTGTATGACACTTTGCTACTAAATAATGTTAACTTTGATGATTACGTGATGTTTAATTATATTTGAATGTATGTATTTTTAGACCATGTGCATTTTGTACACGTCTTATATGAATAAACTATCTATCTATCTATCTTAATAATATGAGACTGTTTTAGGCATATGCCAATTTGCAAATTTAAAAATATAATCAAGAAGCAATTAAAACGAAGTTTATCACACATCCGTGCCGATTTTGCGACTCCGTAAATATGGTATTGCACGGCCGTGCATATATTTTGACGTGACGTCATTAGCGTTATACAAACATAGTGTAAAGACGCGCTAAATGTTAGCGTTATACTATAGGCGCGTCAATAAAAA